ATTGTATGTTTCTATCAACTGCACGTACCTTGACATAAAGATAAGCATCTTATCCCCAATTCCTCATCACCTGCACAATAGTCTCATGTGACTTAGAGTTAGCAAAATCAGTTCTTTTAAAAACAAAAGAGTGATTATGGCTCAGTCTACAAAGAAATTGTTATTCCTAAGTCAACTGTTCAATTAAGATATCATCATCTTTTTGCACTTGTTGCATAAACCCTAATGATTTGACTTCGAAATCCCATTGTCTTTTTTAGAATATAGAACATATAATTTTTTCGAGTGGAGTGCATTATAGGTCGCTTGACTATTGCAGGGGCGTCACATAGGTCCCCTAACTTTGAAAATCAGCATCCAAATACTTTAAGTGCAGTAAGTGTGTCATCCAGTTCCAAATCGGTTCAACACTAAGGTAGTTCAAGGACCTATATTTTTCCTAGCATGACACACTTATTGTACTACAAGGACCTGGATGATGATTTCCATAGTTTAAGGACCTATGTGACATCCCTGAAATAGTTCAAGGACCTACTATGCATTTGTCAATTAGAATTTAGTAAAGATCGGCAAAAGAGAGATCAACATCTACAGTACCTAATAAATACAATATTGCAATATATTTTACAATGGATCTAATGGTTCTAATTTGGTGTTGTAGATGCTGATAGGTCTGTCTATGTCCAGGTTGACTGTGATGAGCAACTTGCACTTTTTAACCACTTTTTTTTAATTGATTACAATTTAAGCAAATTCTAATCAACGAATTAGAAAAACTGTTTTCTATAAGTTAGTTTTCAAATTTTGAGTTATAGCACAATATCCATATGCACTACATTTTGAAATGACAAAACGGTAAAAGTTAATAACAACAAAAAATCAACACATAAACATGTAGAGTTTGTATACCTGCACCTGCAGGACCGCCAGTGCCTCTTAAGTAGTGCAATCATCCGGAGAACGAAGCACGCATGACCTCGATTGGTTTCACATTGAAGGCATAACTAAGTGCCAGCTGAAGGCCTACGCAAGCCGGAACCGCAGCAGCCAAGAAGATGACCTTGACGGTACTGTCAGTTTTCCTGCAGCTTCCAGCAGCATAGGCCCCCATGAGGCCCAGGAGGGCCACGGCGATGAAGCCGTAGACCGCCAGAAACCGCGCTGAGATTTTGCTGCTCAATTTCTTGTCCAGGAGGAGCGGGATGATGAACAAGGAGGCGACGAACGCCGTCGTGTTGCAGACGAAGAAGGCCCGGTACCTGCGGAGCGCGCTATCTTCCATTATCGGGTCGCCGGCGAGGTGAAGAAGGCGGCCATCCTTCTGCAGGGTGCTGGTCCAGAAGCCGCCTGGCGGGTTCAGCCCGGCGGCGTATGAGATGGTGACGGCGAAGGTCGCCAGCAGCATCAGCACCTCGATCTTCTCCTTCTCTTCGTGCCGGCCTGTGGCTGTGGTTCTGGTGTTGGTACTTGGGTCGCCGCCGCTGCGGTGGCTGGTGACAAAAGCAAACGTGATATAGGCCAAGACGGGGAAAGCCAGCGCCACGGCCCAGATGGTGGCGAAGGTGTCATGGCAGGTCCCGGCTGCGTAGGAACCCATGAGGCCAAGTAGGTCGAGCACCATGACCACCCGCAGCACCAGCGTCCAGACAGGTCTCTTCCTCCGCAGCATGACGAGGATGAGGCAGACCACGACCGACGAGGCAAGCGCCGTGCCGTTACAGTAGTAGAAGGCGAGGTATCGGCGGTAGTGGATGTCCCGGAGGATGGGGTCGCCGGCGAGGTGCCCGTCCGCCTGCTGCGTCTGCCAGGCTCCCCCGGGCAGGTTGAGCCCGGTGACGTATGTCACCGTCGCCACCAGAGTGGTCAGCAGCAAAAGCTGCTCTTTCAGCTCGTACAATAACTCTGGGTCTTCATCTTCGTTTGGTGGTGGCAGTGTGGAGGTGGGGCTGGGGATATCTGTCATCTTGCTAGCTGGGAGCTCCTTGCATTGCATAGCATTGGGTTATATACATGTAAATGTCAACTTTGGAACACCTTAATTGCCTCTAGCTAGTTTGTTTTCGTGAGCAGACCACAAGACTTGGGAGATTTTATACACATATGTATTTCACACATTGATAGTTTTTTGTTTTTGTTTTTGCGAACTTTAAAATTATAGTACTTCTTTAAGATAGACTATACGAACTCAAGGTTGGCTTGTTGGATTAGGCAACTGATCAGATGCAAGTTGGCAAGTCGCATGTTGGTAGTCTTTTAAATCTGTGATGATAAGAGCATCACCAAATTTACTTGAGTTTCGTCGGAAGGAGAAAGGTTGTACAATCTCATGCAAAGTAATGACCTCTGCAATGGGTGGTTCCGGAGTAATGCTACACAGACGGTGGCTTACGGAGGCTTTACGGACTAATTAAAGATTATAATGGCTGTAATTTAAT